AATTTTTTCAACAAACATTTTAAAAAGTTACAGTATCAAAATTATTTCTTATTTTAAGTAGAAAGACTATTAGAGCATTTAAAAGTGTCTTTAATGCTTGAGTGATTTTAATGCTTTTTATCAAATGTACTTATTTTCTCATGGTGACAAAAAAAATTATCTACGTGAAAATTATTTTACAAAATCAATTTCTGAGTGATCTGTGTAGGGTGAGATTTGTTATGTAATTTTAAATTTAGCGGCGGCAGAATACCTAAAACAAATATTGAGTAGGTAGGTATATAGTTGTAGAGCGTACAACTAGATGGCGCTTGCATCTTTTACCGGCTACAGGTAATTTAACTCACTGTATTACCGATAATTCCTAGAAAAGGAAAGCAATAGAAGTTGGAGAAAGTGTCAACAGTTAGCGCGGTTAATGACCACGAAATTTGTTCAAGTTTCCTATCTATAGTATCATTTATCTAGGACTATAAAACAAACCTTTGAATACAAGGCACTTTATAAACTTACCCCGTTTTTAAATGGCAAAATTTTACAAATTAAGCAAATCCACTAATTTATAAATATGCCTAAATCGATGCTAATTTTTATTTATTGAGAAATAGTAGTATATTATGTATTTATTTGCATTTAATGAAAAATATATATTTGGCAGTCGGTGTCACAACATAACCTAATATTCAAAAACGTCAACAAAACTTGCACAATCAAGGTCAAGGTATATGAAACAAAGGTTTTCTCAATAAAACACACAACATATTATCAATGACGTCATTAGAGTAAATGGTTGATTTGCAGGTTTAAATTTCGATGGCTCGTAAGCAAATTTAGGTAAATAAAAAGTAAAAAATAAAAAGCGAAATTTTCACATTTTTCTCTACAATGAGAATATAATCTTAAGACCTTCAAAATACAATTAATCTTCTTCACTTTAAGATTACTAATAAATTACTTTGAATGAATTTGAGGTACATTGATGTGAATAAAACGAAATATATAATTTATCTAATACAAAAAATAATTTATTTTCAGAAAAAATATGGTTCAATTATATTTAATACAGTTAATCACTGTAACTCTTGGGCGTATTTTTCTTAATGCAGTAATGCTTCAAAACGCCACCGAATGTAGTCTTGTGTTTATAATTTTTAGAATAAGTCTTATAGAACTTCATAAATAATCGTCCAGACAACTGATCAAGTATTCTTAACGGGTCACTATAACTATTAATAGTAGTATTAACGAGAGACGTGTTGGATTCGGACAATCTGGGTGCAAAAGGTAATACCCTGCGCAAAACGATGACTGCCCTCCTCGATTGCACGTCCTGCGGTCTGACACAGTGCGTAATTTCATTGGCTGCGAAATCACTGAAACAGAATTACTCGATAAAGAATAAATTAATGAAATATTTACTAAAGTTTTTAAATACAGAGTGCTATGATTTTTTTTATCAAACTTTAGTTCGTAATTGTAAATAAAGTAAAAACAGATTGCTTTTGTATGATTTTAATATCAGTGTGGACGAAGCGCCAAACATTAAAAACATTTTCGAATGCAAAAGGAAATTAATATTTTTACATTCTACAGTAATATTGGCATGTTAAAATATTTGTTCTGTTTTATAAAATGTACTTAACAAAAATACTAATCTGATATTTCTGAAATATTTTTTTAGAAGTTACTATTTTCATAAGCACTGCGTTTAGTTTCTGAATCTCACTATCAATGACATAGTTTATGTGTGAGGTATATATATTTTTTTTACAAATCTGTGTTCATTTTATACTAAAACTGTATTCTTTGGTTTTTACTATAAGTCTGACCGTTTCTAAACATTTGTAACACCTTACAATGTATGAGCATCATTTTTTAATAACGCACTTGTGCCCAAAGTTAGATAAAGGAATATCGAACCACGCTGTACAAAAATACGTACCTCAACGTAGTTACAACTCCTCTGGGTAAATCAAGTTTCAATACTGGCTTGGAACACCGTATAGGCTTGAAGTAAAATTTGCAGCCGAAGCAGAGAGCGCTGTCGCTAAACAAGCTTAAGGAAACTATCGGCCTGTCAAAAATATGCGGGGGATCTATATGAGACACTATACATCCACCCGGCTGATAATCGTTTATAGCTATACTGTTTACGAAATTTTCTGGTATTACGTTTGCTTTGATCAAAGGTTTTATTAATATTTCTTGTATCCACGAGGGGATTGGATCGACGGAGCCTATCGGATATAGACGTTCCATACCGGGGCCTTTTTCTTGCATTTGGGATCCGTAAGTGTAGCCCTCGCCAAAGAAGTACCTATAACGGGTATTTCTCTATACTACAGTTGTAGAAACGGACAGAAATCGATAAATGGATTTGAATTAAATTTGGTATAACTAGAGATGTCTTTTAATTGGTAGAATTGGTTTTATAATATGTGTACTGTCTAAAAACTATTGGCATATGTACTAAAATATTAAATAGAACCGTGTCTGCTAACGATAAAAGAATTTCAGTTAATTTTTTATTTCTATTCAGTTCAAAGAGAAAATCTAATTTATTTAAGTCGGGTTAATGAAATGGTCAGCCTATAGTTCCCACACAAGGATTCTCTTTTCATTACTTATTGGTGGGCAGCATAAATATAAAAATTCAGTTCAAATCTAAGATCCAATGTTGAAATATTAAAAAAAATTTCACCTTTTCTAAAATATCTCTGAAGATGTTTGATATAGAATGACAAAGCTTAGGCTAAAAGTTTATCTAATTAAAGGTAAACATTTACTAATTTCAGATATAAATACGCTACCGTGGCGGAGATACTGAGAGTTTCTTTCATTAAATATTCCACCTACTCGATGACACAGAATATGCTGTCACTGTTTGTAACTCCACTTTTTGTTTACAATAAAAAAAATGTTTTTCAATTTATTCAAAGCTTAATTTAAACAGTTAATTTTCATAAAACCTAACATAACTTTAAAACTACTCGTTTCGCTAAAAAGAACATTGATTTTTTTTCTATACAGGGTGATTCAAAATTCAGTACAAAGAATTTAGAGGCATATTTTTGAGGTCAAAATAAGACTGTTTTTCCTATAAACCTGGATCCACAAATGCTTAGTTTTCGATATACAAAATGTTAGTTTTTTATTTTTTTTCAATTTTTTAGGAATAATTTCCAAACAAATTGGAATGTTGGCATAAAACTTGGGGTACGGGGGTTTTTTAGGATGCTAAATTTAAATATGTAATTGCTTTTGACACTACTTTTAGGATCCTAAAAAACCCCAGTACCCCAAGTTTTATGCCAACATTCAAATCTGGAAATTATTCCAAAAAAATCGAAAAAAATAAAAAACTTTAACACCCTGTATATCGAAAATTAAGCATTTGTGGACCCACATTTGTAGGAAAAAAGTCTTATTTTGACCTAAAAAATATGCGGCTAAATTATTTGTTCTGAATTTTTAATCACCCTGTATATTACGATTATACATACAATTTAATCATGAAGAGACTGACAGACTAAATAACGCAATTTTTTTCCGAGCCATATTCCTCGTTAGCTTTTACAAAAATGCAAATTTCTGCACAATTGATTTTTTTTCAGACTTACCATAACTGGTTTGTTTGTATTGCATTTTTAGCAAAAAAATCCCAATATAATCTGAAAAGGTGATTTTCTTTAAGTTTTAACACCCTGTATCTTGAAAACTAACAAACTTGTAGAACCATGTTTACATAATTTTTTTGGATTACAATCGCACAAATAATCATTTCGTAAAGTTTATTTTAATACCTTCATATTCAATAAGTGTAAACAGTTTTTTTTGTATTGTATAATATCATAAAAAAATAAAATTAATTTGTTGACCAAAAGAAAAAACAAAAAATAGTATGAGCCATTTTCAGTACATTTGGGACAGTAATACTATCTATAAATTATTACTATTCTTTCGAAAAAATCTGTAGAATAAAAAAGGGACGGCACACCATTGACTAAAATGTTAGCATGGTCATTTATAAGTTACAACAGATTTCATTGGTTTATATATTCCTGAGATACAACAAAAATTATTTACTTTTTCCAAAATGTTAGTCATATTTGGAAAAAGAACTAATAAAAGATTATAAAGCAAGGTACACTTATTTTTCGATAAGCAATTACACTGAAATCACCCTGTATAAAAGTTATTGACTTACTTGTTCCTTAGAGGTGTTCGATCCACAGTGGAATTTTTATAAGCTCCGCTTTCTGCATTCCTCACAATGTCATCTACATGAGCTTCGAAGACATTTAGTTCCTCTTCGGTAAACACAAAGTACTGTTTTACGTTTTGGCAAATGCTTGTGACTTTCTCTTCTTCATTTTGGTCGCTCCAACTCTTCATTTCACACAAACTGGAATCACTTCTATAAATTTTTGAATATTTTCCACTTCCTTGAATTTACTTACCCAGAAATATCATACATTTTCTTTTTTTTCCTTGTTCTATATTACTTTGGCAAAAGCTAACCACATGTACTTCACAATTTGAATTATTTTGGGACAAAAAAAACATACAAAAACCATGTCTGTGTCCTGTTTTTGCAACACAGATTAAATGTAAAAATGAATACTTCAGTATTTTAGAAAGAGAAGAAAAATAAGTAGAAAACAACAAAAATTCTTTGTTAATATAGGGAGTGATAAATTAAGGGTAGATTTGTAAGAAAAACATTGTTGAGTGACAGAAGCATTAACGTTAATAAAATTTCCTGTTATTTAACTGTAGTAAAATATACAGGGTGTTAATTAATTAAGTAGACATATTTTAAGGGGCAAATTTTTTTACAATTTTAAGACAAAAAGGTTATACAGGGTGATTCACAAACGGTGACCAAAACTGAAACCTCGTATTCATGGTTGTTACCGTAAAGCAGTAACGTAAATATGCCACCGATACCCTATACCTCTGCCACTGGATCATGTAAATTATAGAGAAAAGCCTTTAGATTTTGGAAAATGTTTACATAAATACATGTGCCCAATTTCAAATTATTTGGGTAAAAACATACAAGCCATTCATTACAAAATAAGAAAAAAATAAGGGGTTCAGTGGAAAAAATGACTTACCTTGATATATTCAACAGATTTCCAACCACCTTTACCGAAAACAAGCGAACGAAACGATATTCAAGAAAAACATAAAAAATAACTTCCAAATAAACTTACGAAAACGTCCATCAATAATAATTACCTCCGTTTCAATAAATTATTAATTTTAAAAGCATCTTCACATAATCAACAATTCCAATACAAATTCATATATAAAATCAACGTTAACAAAAAAAAACAAACAATCTGCCGCTGCTAGTCTATAGATATCCTATTAAAAGTAATGTCGACTCTTTGATTCAGTATCTTCACAGCCATCTTAGGGGTGAAATTGCTGATGCCGATCTCCTTCAGAGCTTTTCCCCTCGTGTCCTCTACTCCGGTGGCACCCTCTAGCGCTAAAATAGTCTCTCGGAGGAGTAGAGCGCTGCCTTTGCTTATATTCAACAAAACGCAAGATTCTATCAACCTACAAATTTGTAAATCTAGGAAGACGTTCATAGACGGAGCGAGTAACAGCTTATCCAAAAAATATATACGCTATTATATAGAATAGATATCACCAAATAACAAATTACGAGAAAAAAATATTTGAAAATTGTTACAATTAAAAGGGTCACCTAGTAGAGTTCATCGAAATGTTCTTTAATTTTTTTGCACGCTACAGGTAGCTTCACTAGATTTGATTTGACAAATCCGTTTTATTGAGTATTACTGTGGTTTCCGTTACGGTCTTATTACTGCGGTTTATTGTTAACATCTGTCTTAGAAGTTTTAATTATGCTATTTACATGGAGTTATTGTATTTGGATAAGTTGTTAATCACCGTGCATATCCGTTCGACTTACTGTGCAAAGTAATTGTTTGGTCGTTCGCTAAACTGCGAGAATAGCGGAATCAAATTCCTGGTTACGTCGAATTTAAGCTGTAGGGCCCCCCCTTCGCTGAACCTAGTGTCGAGAACCAGGTCCTCGAATAAATAAGTGTCCAACTGTTGCGCTATGGATCGCCACACGTACGTAAACAATTTACTTTGCAAACTCTTCTGGAGTTGGTGCAAACGCTTCGAGAGAATCTCGAACATCGGACAAGCTGAAGGCGTCAGCGATAAGCTACGGAATTCTTTAGCTGTTTTCATAAACGCCCATCTAAAAGACCGGTTAAATAAACATATTTGAACCAAAAAAGGATGAAAAACATTTGCTTACCTTTCTCTGCGGTAGTCCCTGCTTTTACGTTTGATCTCGATTATTACCGTTTCGGCCAGCGTATTTAAGATATCTTTTCTCATGTGTCTATAGAGGGACAACGTTTCTGCGAAAACGGTGTCCGTTTCTATTTCGAACAACTGACTATCCTCGAATTCAGTCGAGGTGGGACTAACCGGTTGTTTCGCCATCTCCAACTGGCTTTTGTAGTAATATAAATTCAAATAATGCTGAAATTTGAGAACTCGTGAACATATTTGGCGCACAATGTGTAGCTATAAATTTTCATTGCTAAGTTAAGGTCACTTTTTAAATTTATTACAACGCTATATTTTTAAAACGGTTACAGAAGCGCTAGATTTCATTCGCTGAATGTACACATTTGCTCATAGGCCAAGCAAGTAAAATTTTTACTCGAAAAAAGTCCTATCCGCAAGATTATTGTAAAATTGTCTAAAGGAATGTAATACAAGACATCTCTCATCTCGTGAGTCGAAAAATTTTATTAGCTAACTTTTCTATGTAAACAAATAAGTGAGGAAAACAGTTTTTTCACTTTGCAGGGAGAACCATCAATTTTAGCAAAAAGTGACTCACAGACAGCTTATAGGGAGTACAATTATCTACAAAATGAGAATTGTTAAATTAAAATCGGTAAATAAACAAAAAAGTCATTGCAAAAAAACAAGAAAAGTGCCCATTTCTTAATTTGTTTATAACTATCGCATTTATTGTTTAAATTTTATAAATAAGTTGAGGGTTTTGTCATACTTTAAAAGTGTGCCAAAAGTGGGCGCTGTAGGTGCAATAGTTTTCGCACAATTCTATTAGTTTATAGCGGAGGCTCAAAAAGTTATGAACTTTAAGCCTCTGTACAGGCGTTAATTTTCAACCAAACATGATTCTGAAAGCGTCATTGTATTCTTAAAGACGTAATTAAGCGACCTATTAAAAAATATCACCGTTTTTTTGACATTAATATTCTCAAATTGTGCATTAAAAAACCGTGCGTTTTTCGCTTATAAACAATTTGAATAAAATTGTTGCTATTTATGCTACCTCACCGAAAATAGATACAATGGATAGCTGGCAAAAAAATACAAATTTAAAAAAAAAAACACCCTCTATGACCAACAGGAGCCAAGATAAGAAATTTTTTTTTTAAAACGTAGCGCAATTGTTTATAAACATTGACTTGAATTTTTCGCAAAATAAAGTTTACGACGTAAACTACGATTTCCCGTGAATTGCATTGAAAAATTTGGAAAATTAACAACTCACAAGCCATTTAAGGAGAAGGTCCTTGCTAAGTAAACTGTCCGGCGTGGTGATAGGGTAAGCTCGTCCAAGAGTCGCGCGCGCGGGTAAAGTTCAAATTGATGCGCGCTGTAAATTTTGCAATATCTTGGCTTCTATTCATCGTAGAAACTTCTTTTTTTTTAAACTAGGGTAGTTTGATGAAAAAATAACAATGGGCATATTTAAGAATTCGTAGAATAGCCCTGAACCCCAGAAAAAAAATACTTTTTTAATTTACAAAAATGTCACAAAAACTATTGTTAAATGAAATATTAATTAATTATTCATTTAAGAACTTACTTATTTTTATATATTAAGCCAAAGTAAACTTATTTTTTCAATGTTTTGTATTATTTAATTACGATTTAAATGTAAAAATTAAAGTAAAAATTGACAAATTATTTTCAGATTATTTGAACTTATTGCAAAATTCTCAAAATTAAAAAATATTAAAAATAATGCGGTCGATAAAATTACAATTTTAACTTCTTTTAATATATAAAAATTTTTTATTATATTTATTACTAATTTTATACAAAAAAATTTTTGTAACAATCAAAATTAATTCAAAAAATACTAATCACAACCATTTTCAATAATAATAATACAACAATTTAAAATTTAAAATTTTTTCTATTTTTATGAAAAATAGCTTTTTAAATGAACGATAGCTTCATTTATTTATTTAATAATAGTAAAATAATTCCGAAATTGAAATTTTAATTAATATTTCGTTTAACAATAACTTTTGACATTTTTGTAAATTAAAAAAAATTCAGTAAAAAGATGCATTTTTTCTGGGGTTTAGGGCTATTCTACGAATTTGTAACTATGTCCATTGTTATTTTTTCGTCGAGCTACCGCAGTTAAAAAAAAAGAAGTTTCTACGATGAATATAAGCCGAGATATTGCAAAATTTACAGCGCGCATCAATTTGAACTTTGGATTTCACTGTACTCGCGCGAGCGACTCGCTTGGACGAGCTTCCCCCACCACCAAGCCGGACATTTTACTTAGCAAGTACCTTCTCTTTAAAGGGCTCCTGAGCCGTTAATTTTCCACATTTTTTCAATGCAATTCACGGGAAATCGTAGTTTACGTCGTAAACTTTATTTTTTGAAAAATTCAAGTCTTAATGTTTATAAACAATTATGCTATGATGTTTTAAAAAAATTCTTATCTTGGCTCCTGTTGGTCGTAGAGGGTGCTTTTTTTTTAAATTGTATTTTTTTGCCAGCTATCCATTAAATCTATTTTCGGAGAGGTAGCATAAATAGCAACAATTTTAATCAAATTGTTTATAAGCGAAAAACGCACGGTTTTTTAATGCACAATTTAAGAATGTTAATGTCAAAAAAACGTTGATATTTTTTAATAGCTCGCTTAATTACGTCTTTAAGATTACAATGACGCTTTCAGAATCATGTTCGGTTGAAAATTAACGCCTGTACAGAGGCTTAAAGTTTATAACTTTTGGAGCCTCCGTTATAAACAAATTGAATTGTGCGAAAACTATTGCACCTACAGCGCCCACTTTTGGCACACTTTTAAAGTAAGACAAAACCCTCAACTTGTCATAGGTTTTATAAAATTTTAACAATAAATGTGATGGTTATAAACAAATTAAAAAATGGGCACTTTTCTTGTTTTTTTGCAATAACTTTTTTGTTTATTAACCGATTTTAATTTAACAAGTCTCACTTTGTAGATGATTTTACTCCTTACAAGCTGTCTGAGAGTCACTTTTCGCTAAAATCTATGGTTTTCCCTTAAAAGTGAAAAAACTGTTTTCCTCACTTATTTGTTTAAATAGAAAAGTTAGCTAATAAAATTTTTTGACTCACGAGATAAGAGATGTCTTGTATTATGTTCCTTTAGACAATTTTACAAAAATATCGCGGATAGGAATTTTTTCGAGTTTCTCTTTTATTTTCGCTAATTTTCCTGGTGTATCAATATTTCTTGTGATTGATATGAAAATGCTGCCAATAGCACCCTTCGTTACGAAATCAAAAAGAGTCTTTCGATATTTTTGATATTAGAAGTACATGAAAAATAAAACTACGCCTACACTTGCTGCAAGCGAAAAAATTTCAAGGCAATACTCAAAACACATAGTTATGTCCACAAAGGGCGGGTTTTGGTCATAGTTTTTATCAGTTTCCAACAACTTACCAACATTGCGCCCCAATCTATCAGCACATTCTCAATATAGTAAATGCTGTTCGCAATCGCAAGAATCTTTGACTCAATGACATCACCCTCCTCGGCGTTTACAATTTGCAACAACCTAACCCTAAAATCGTCCAACAGCTCCAGCTGCAACTCCAGGAATTGCAACCTATGACCTGGTTGCGGCAGAGACTCGTAACGTTCCGTTATGGTCTGCTGTAAAGTTATAAAAGTGTCTGCGCACGTCGTTATCTTTAAATCTTCCACGTCGGAGGTCAACGGGTCGAATGCGTCCAACGAGTTAGGCGGCAGCATTGCGTCCATTTTTTCAATTGCGTCTGGAAAATGAAAGTGAACGTTTTCCTTTTAACTGAATCAAATATTTACATTTTTTCTCCATCGCCAGCCATTTCACAAACACTTGCGCCTGCGTTAGCACCGCTAGGATGCTGGGTTGGTTCGTGGGGTAGTCGTAAATTTCACGTAATTCTTTATCGAAACCTAGGGCTTCGTCTATTGAATGCGAAAAGGTAAAGTCATCGTACTGCAAACTAGGCAGCTCCGAATATAACTTTTCGACAGCCAGCTGCACTAAACCCCTTATCAGTTCAAGCTAAAAACATCAATATTTGATTTTATTCAAACGTTTGTGGCAAACTACAACTCGTCTGAATGATTTTTTTTTACCTTTGCGTCTATATGATGTAAGCCTAGCTTATCAATGACGGGTTGGATATATTTCCCTACAAAATCTCTGTGGTCCCTTATCCATGTAAGAATTTGAGTAAAATACCTGAAATTTAATACAGTATAGAGTTGTTCTCACCGAGCAAATTGAATACTTATATGTTACAAATTTTTCTTACCATTCTGGTTTATCGGGCCGATTCGTCTGTCTTGCGCCGTAGAAGTGATAGAAAAATCTTTTACGCAGCGGTTGAGCTAAAAAATGCAGGGGTAAACACAGGGGAGGAAAATCGGACAGCAACGCAGAGGTTATCACAGGCTCGCTAGCTTCACTAGGCAGTTCGATTTGAAGCAGATACTCTGAAATAATTTGCAATTTATGTATATACGTAGGTAATGGGACAACCAAAGAAAAGTTTGTACTAACGAAAGGCCACTTGATTGCTTTTAAAACTTCGTCGAAGTCCCTGAAAATGTTTTAGTTGTGATTACAGTTTGAGACAAATTCCCGAATCTTACTTTGCAAATTTGTCCTTTAAAATATTGTGCCAGTGGTGGATTGTTTCCTTCAGGTAATCCCGTAAATGCACTCCGGAAAAATCAGCCAAATTCCTACTAATTTCTGTTAAATTAGCGAAAAGAGTGGCGCATTTCTCGTCGTCTCTTTTTCCAATTTCTCTTTGTAGTTCCGCACTAAAATATCGAGTTACAAAGAACTTTGAACGGTGTGATTATGTTTTAATTACCTTAAGTATTCTATATGCTGTATGACTCTCATATATTGCAAAGTGCATTGTAATGTATTTAGTTTGTCAAAATGCTCCTTAACTTCGTTTCTTACTTCGTCAACATCTTCCAAGTCCTTTTTAATATCTCCAATAATATCCTTACCCCTTTCTATGACATCTTCTGTTCTTTTTACAACATCTTGTGCATTTTTTACACTCTTGCCAATAGAAGATTCTGTACTCGTAACATCCAACTACAAATTATCAGTACAAAAAAATACAATGCAATTGTTGGTTGCTTGGTACGTTACCTCTTTCTCTATGGCTGCCTTTTGTGCTAAAAGATTTCGGTGCAGTTCCCTACATTTTTCCAAGTCCAGCAAATCCTTCCCATACTTCTCATTCAATTCTTGAACGACTTTTCGTTTAATTTCAGTTGAACACGATACCATAATTGAATGAGGTGGCAGAACATAACCTATATTTTGAACTTTTATTATAATTTACGACTAGCTTTAATAATGGTTAAGACAGAAATAAAAATAATTATTACACTTATAATTTTAAACTCGGGTCTAAAATAATGGATTCTTGTCCATAAATAAATTAATTAATTATACAGTACAAGTTGTTTAGGTTGTTCGTACTACTAGTAGACACAATGACCTGTAGGTCATGTCGTAATAAATAGTACTAGAGTTTAGGAGCTAGCTTGCCATTGGCTGAGCACGTTATAAAAAGATAAGAGATAGCTGCTTGAATTAAATTTAAATGGGCCAAATGGTATCTCGCTCTTTCTCTCGCCGAATATGATTGGTGTCCTGTGACGTAATAGAGAGGGGTTTATGCTGCATGAGATGACGTCACTTGAGAGAAAGACACAATCATAGCATATATTGATAAAAATAATGCAACTTTGCCCTTTATCTAAAAATTTAGAGCTGTTGCGGTTTAACAACTTCACATCATTAATTTTATTATGCAAAAAGGTGAAGTTTCTGCAAACTTGAACAAAATATTGAAATTTAGATTCACAATTAATTCACAAGTAATTTACACACTTAAATTTACCTTTAAACAGGATTCATACCATATGCAAATGCGGAAATTACAAGTTTTAACTTAAATTGTCTCCAGTGGTGTCAATGTAGTAAAAATCAGGTGACATCATGTCCAGGGAGGATGAAATTAAGTTTGCTGACGAACATACTATACTATTTGTGGTGACGTCACTAGGGAACAAGGCTGATGAAATAAAGGCATGGAAATGCAATACCTAATCACATATTTTACTTTTTTAATTTTATTTCGCAGAGGATGTACCGTTGAGATCAAGTGATTAAGAAAGGAAGGCAGGATGTGGAACGTTGTATACAGTGATAACGACGGGTTGTATAATAACATATATTTTACTAAATATGTTGCACTTACTGTCATAGTCATATTAAACTAAGTTAGTATTTACATAAGATCTAAAAAATATAAGCCAGATAATGCCAAAAAAATTATTCTATGCTAATTAAATGCAAATATATTAAATTTTGGCAATATCTTTTGGACATAATATATACAAAGAAAAATGTAATCCAGATTATTAAAAAAATATGCAGGTAAAACTACAATAAACGATATCATAAAGGAAAACTATAATGGCATCTTGTTGATTAAACATATGAAGACTAAAAGAGTATAACTGTGGCATAAATCGTACTTTATATTGTATTGTGATAAGTATTATATATTTTTTTTTGATTGGCAAAAGCCTGTCATGTTTCGTACTACAGTAAACTTTTTCGTTGATCGAATATTCAAACAGAAGGCATAGATGAACAAGCACGTTACTAAAAAATAACTCTAAAAGTACTCAATGAACACATCCAACTTTCGAGCGGTTTAAAAATTAGATGTGTCGATTTCAATATGCGGATTAAAAAAAATAGTAAGGTCTTACACTAATTAAACATTAAATTTAGAATATGTATATAACGCAACCACTAAATCAACAAAATCACTATCAGTGGCTGAAATCATATAAAGTGAATATTAAATATGAGCGACGCTATCATATAAGAGATAAAATAATTAAAATACGAGAATAATAAAAAACATCACATACAAATATAAATAATAAACTTTAAACGTTACCATCAATCTTTCCCAGGGTTCAACAATATGATTATAGTATTATTAGAATAGTTCACTAGCAGCTATCTTTCGTTACCTGTTTCGAGACTGACCAAGTGTTTATTTTTTTCCCACAAAAAATCCCTAATTAACCCATAAATTATGTTCAAAATGGGAAACAAAATACGTTACGAGCAACATAACTTCTACATAATACACCCTACAAATTTTTGTCTAAATTATCTTATTGTTTTACTAATTGCAGGGGAAAGTAATGTGTTTGAGGAGGTGTTTCTGCTCCTCGCATAAAAGCCAAGAGGTTCAAAAAATATATGTCTCCGATTTTCGCAAAACGCCTTAGAAAAAACTCCCCGCCTTCATTATTACACCTATTTGCACCAGAAAAACCGAAAACCACCAGAACTAAAGATCGATGCTAAGTATACGCCTTATCCTTAACATCGTTCGATTTCAACTTTGCACCAAGGAATCAGTGTTAATGTAAATCACACACACGTTTTGTTTAATTCTTTTTTTTAAGGTAACTTTTCGAAAAGTGATGATCGAACTTAATGCCTTTAAAAAATGTGGAGTAAAAGTTTTGTTGGTGTTGCAAGTGCGGACTTATGTGTGATAAGGCGTGACGTAGGTGGCCGGGAAGAGACCCTTGCGGTGCCCTATTTCCCCGTGCCACCAGTGCTGATCCGTGCGGTCTGTGACCGTGATGACGTCGCCCCGTTTGAATTCCAATTCCCCCACCTCCTGCGGAGTGAAGTCGTACAGTGCTTGCACCAGATACTGAAAAATGAAAGCAAAACATTAACTTTTAACTCAGAAAAAGTAAGGCGTTTCTGAAAGTTTATGACATTTTAACGTTTAAATTGACAATTGAAAGCCTTCCATTCATAGCTACCTGAGACTTAGAAAGTTTTCGTTACGTTCAAAAAATCAAATAGTGAGATATGATATCTAATTTCCTGTTTCTACTACGGGCTGCTTCCTTTTAACCACATAAAGGGATGTGATTTTTAGTACTATCGGACTAGATTTAGTACAATACTTCAGTTTCCAGATTAGTACCCCTTTAAAAAAGCTATAAACACGTTTTAGGAATTTATAACATTAAAAGCAATTTGTTTATTTTGCCTTATTTCTAATAAATGTGCAATGTTACAGAAGTTAAAATTATTGGTACTTTTTTTCATTTATTTAAGTGATATGTTGCTAGAGCAACAAAGGGTGCGACATCTATTGTTTTCCTTAAAATTATTTTAATAGGGAAGTTTCAGCTTCATCGCTTTATACATATTTGAATATTCTTAAGTTTTTTTTGGCAATATTTTTAACTGTTTAGAAAAAATGTAAAATGACAATTTATTTTTAATGTGGAGAGTAGTAGCAAGTGAAGAACAACGTCTTAAATATCAGAATTTGTACGAGTTCACTTTCCCAATGACAGAAAACTTATAAAGATATGAAAAGTGAAATTAATGACAAACTAGTAAGCAAACATAATGTCAAAAAAAATGGGGTTGTTCAAATTAGAAAAAAGTGGTGTTTTTTTATACCTATCAATATGCCGTTTAGAAAGTTTTAAAATTACTGGTAGTTCCGGAGATACCCGGAGACCCGAAATTTTGCAAAATCGTTTTATTTTTTTTGGCGCTATTTGAAAACGAATTTTAAAATAAATTGCATATATACATTGCCACTTTTTTCGCTCTATCCAATGGCGTCAACATTTTTGCAATCCGACGTTTCGTCTTCGAGGGGCCATCATCAGGTTAATTTTTTTAAATACGTCGCTGCTATTTTTATGACAAAATCTAGTCATTTTTAATTCTGAATTAGATGATATTACTATTGTAATTGCTTAAAAAGGTTTTTAGTTTGTTTTAGCTATCATTTAGAATTTTCCTGCAAATTTTAAATGTTTTGCAGATATTAATTTGTATTTTTCAATATCCGTCATTTCCCATTTTTTTTTATCAGTTTGAAAAATTATACTCTGGCTGCCATAAAAAAGTTGTATCAAATGGGAAACATTTTACGATTTCAGAAAATAAAAACTTCTAAATAATGTTTGCTCGGCTGAATTAAAAATAAATATACCAGTTTTTTGAAACCATTGAAAACAAATAAAATCTGTCATTTTCTCATTTTTTTTAAATAATTTGTATTCAAATGGAAAATTAAATTCTATCAAATTAAATTAATATCAGAATTTGACTAATAACTCCAATATTTTTAAAATCTAGAAATTGTTTTTAATTTTGGTGATTAAAATAACTCCACAAATTAAAGATAAACCAGATTATCTAGGCTTTACATATTCGGTATTCTGACAACAAATATGATTTGGCAATTTTTTTCTGTCTGCAATTATAATACAGAAGTTCAATATATCCTCCAATACATGTACAGAGTATTCATTAAAGAATGGGCCAACCTTTACCACTAGATTCTACGACAAAAATTAATAGCGAATATACAATGTTGCTCAAAAACAATTAGATTTCGAGATATAGGGTGTCGAAGCTGAAAAAATAAATACGTTTTCAGGCATATCTTGGCAAATACATTAAGGGATTTTTTCCAATGAGAAGTTTTGACGGCGACCTACATCATTTGCTGCGATTTCACTTCAATACAAAAACTCAGTGGTGTGTAAACTATATTTTCGAGACTGCAGCACTTCATAAAGCAGAAATAAATTAACATTTTTCAAATTTTCAATGATATTTCAGTATAAAAAGTAGTATACTTGTTGAATATCGTTGAGGTACCATTTTTGAAAAAAACTGGGTTTAAAGCCCGTAAGGACGTGCAGTTTCTATTTATTTCAACTTCAACACCATGTATCTCGAAAAGTAAGCGTTTATGAACAACATTGTATATGACTTTTCCCCATTAATTTTCATCACAGAATCTAGTGGTAAAGTTTGGCCCATTCTTTAACGGACACCCTGTATAAAGCCTATTACAATTGGAATTTTAAAAAATTCTCTGATAAGTTATATATATTATATAAGTTACACCATAATATACCACCCATTATCTTTTTTATTATCTTTCAAAAAAAATAAAATAGTGTATAAGAAGGATCAAAATTTTAGGGAACGTTTTTAGATTTCCTATAACCTAAGACAAAAGACAATTGAGCATCGGGTCTAGTTTATTTTTAAACGGAATTTATATTTTTACACATTTCAATAACATGCTTTTCTCGAAAATCTTAAGTCAAAATAGTCGGTAATAAATAGAGACAGTCACCCCGTATATCTGCCGCACTTATCCCATAACATTTTAAACATTATCTTTTATTATAACCATTGATTCTATCTTATCTTTTCACAAACTATATTTGTACGTACCAAATTTTAAATAATATGAATATTTTGCTTCTGATAATGATAAGCAATCGTTTGAACTACTATAAAAGGATATCAAAGAGCATTTGATATACCAAATATTTAATTTATCTATTTGAATTACATGAAATACAATGTATTATACGATTGTCTGTTATAAACGAAAACTTTGTAGATAACCGAACGGTCACAATGTGACACACAGTAAAAATCATTTTCATTTCTGGTTGTTCATCATATCTACAACAGCAAACGATAAGCAATTTATTGGGCAAATCTATAAGGAACATAAATATTAATAAAGCAAACAACATAAGGTGATTATTGTTGTGTAAATAACAGCAATTAAATTAGTAATTAGTGATCCGCCGTATCTAAATCAGCCACGTGACGTAATACAATTAACAAGTGTTACGTTGTACGTACTCAGAGCACTATAAAATTTATTTGAAGTGGCTATTGACGGGAATTGGGACTTAGACTATTTAATCTATAAACGTTTTCGGTTTTATAATTTTTTTTTGATGAATTTCAAAAATGGAAAAGTAGAAAATTTTATTTTTGAACTTTATCTCGACATTTCAAAATATCATTCTCGGTAACACAAAAAATAAAAATTTACATTATCTTAAATTTAAATTAAAAAAAGGTAAAAAATTATGTGGGCTGATTTGAGGGCTTTTCCTAAAATTTACACGCTTCAGTGGTGGAGCTACGGGGTATCGGTGGCATATTTTTCTAAATAAAACAGTACGTCACTGCTTTACGGTAACAACCATGATATATTCAGATTCATCTTTCAATTTTCTACAAATTACTACTCTTTTGTTTTTCCTGATTTTTGAGTAAAACTTAAAAAACCAACTGAAACACACTTCGACATTATAGAAAATGAAAGACGAATCCGAAAATATCATGATTGTTACCGTAGAGCAGTGGCGTACTATTTTGTTTAGAAAAATATGCCACAGATACCCTGTATCTCCACCACTGGAGCATGTAAATTTTAGAAAAAGTCCTCAGATTTTCGACAATGTTTACATAAATACAAGTGCCCAATTTCAAATTATTTCACTTACTAGTTTTTAAATTATTTAAAAAAATTATAAATATTTTTTGAAGTTGTATCTGTATCTTTTTAACAGTGTCCTAGATAAAAATTTTATAGGTAAGACTCCTAAAATTCATCAACAATACGAGGTTTCATTTTTGGTTACTATTTGTGAGTCACCCTGTATATCCACTGCCCCTCATTTCCCGATCTTCCCCCACTACTCAACCGCGTACGCGCTCTCGTTTTTGAGCCAGTACTTATAATTCACTACTTTTGTGCACAGGATCAGTTCTACAACTGAAAAAATGGCGCAGTGATAAATTTAAAAAAAAACGCTAAATTCTCCCATTTTTCCGGGTTTTCTTCGTTTCTAATTATCCGATCGGATCAATCGACCTTTCGTTTTATTCATATTTTGATTCTCTACAATTCTCTTTATAGCAATAAAATTGCTTCGTTGGTTTAAGTTTTATAAGCAAAAAACTAAAAAAATGCGTTTTTATCACCGATTTAATGCTCTATTGATTGTCCTACACAGAAAACACGCTTGAACTTTTGGATATGTTGTTATATTACACCCTATATTATATTCATTAAAAATTTAAACTCTATAAATAAAATAGATCTAATTGTCTTATGATATAGCATCTGACCACGCCTAATACTACTGTTTCGCCAGCTGAATATCCCAAAAAGGAAATGTTTGAATGTCATGAAATCAATAACGTATTTCATTCAGAAGCAGATAATTGTTTTTCTCCATTTTTAGCATCTAAAATATAAACCACTCGCATAAATTAAAATATATTTTGCACAGCCGATTTAATTTAGCTTAAAAAAAAACAAAGACATTAAAATGTTTGTTAACTACCAATTGTTATTTCCAATTGTTTTATGTTACGTAACAATGTCACAGTGATGCAACAATGACGTTTAACCGTATATTAAAACCGAAATTATCATCATCCACAGACTGGTTTACTAATAAATAAATTATTTTAATTGCCAATAAAAGGAGACTAAACTTTAAGGGCATAAAAAAAGTGTACAACAGTAAACAAGTGTAGGTTTAACCACTGTTGCACAGAGAATTATATAAACAATGAAATGAATCATACTTTCGTAATATTTTTTTAGTACAGATTTGATCGTATAACGGAAGGAGTAATTGTTTTACAAGTCCAAGTTTACATTCTCTTTTCATTCGTCGTCAGTAGTGGTCAGTAACAGACAAAAAAAAATTGTTAATTAAATCGTGACATCCCAAGACCCTACGTTTGATAATAATCGTAAAGATAAATATTTACAATACAATGTGGAAATGTTTTTACATACTGTGGTTAGTTGCGAAATAGAATTCGATCCACTTTATTAACATGTTTAGAAGTTAGCTGTATAATTTGAAAAAAAAATTCTGTTCCCAGTGAGAAGAATATTGAAAATTTTGGTGCTGCGACAAATCCTTGAATATTATTTTGTATTTAATTACACTGCAATAAATTACAAAATTTTGTATTTAAATATAAAACAGATAACTCAATTATTGAGATAATTAAAGTTGTAAGTAAAAGAATTAGGTCAAATATCCCTGAAGGATTCGAATTTTAACTTTTAATTGCTTCTTTACTTTCTATGGGTCAAAAAAATTTATAAATAAACTCACCAAAAACATAAAAGTAGCAGAAAAATTTTCAGAAAAAGAGAAGCATCTTGAAGCTTGAAGATTCTAGTTTTTAAATCTTAAAATGAAAATTTTTTTGGGAATCACAGCGCAATCAAAAGAAATAAGGCAAAAGTTTTACAATTTTTTTTAATTTTCAATACTGCACATGGGCTTAGAACATTTTTTGTCTGGTTTAATCAATGCCGGCATCATTTAGCCTGATTCATCAGCTTCAATTTGTTTTTTTTTTGTTTTCTGTACGATTATTTCTCATTGAATTCAGCTATTAAGTGAAAAACCGTATTTTTTTTGATCATCGATATCTCATGAACTAATTATCATACAGCGAACGGAAACTGGGTTTTAGATACTTAAATCAATCATCTTCAAGGGAATTTCGGTATGTTTGAGAATTTTTTTTATACTTGGGATTAATTTGAAAGTGCAAATAAATGACTTTTTCTGTTATTTTGGAAAATCAACGACTACTTTACAAATATTGCGAAAAGTACCAATGTCTGTAGTTTTTTTTTAGTTCAATACATGCCCATAAGGCCTGGAAACTTTGGAATCGATCCGTTGAACCGTTCCTTTCCTGAATCGTCTAAGATTTATAAAAAATTAAAGGAGCAGGTTTATTGCTCCTTAAACATATGATTAAGATGAAACAATTTTTTTGCGTTATTTTTTCTTACAATTTCATACGTAAATATCGAAAAAAATAAATTCAAGTTTTTGAAAATAAAAAACATCAATTTTGAAATACATATTTCAAATTTTTCTGCGTCCTCTTTTTTAGAATTCCACATTGAATATTTCTAATGTCATAAAACATTTTATTTTAATTTAAAAATGTTAAAAATTTTTTTTTTTCAAAATTTAGTTTTTTTTTTATATTAAATTTTTTTTTCAACTTTAAATTTCAAAAAGATTTTTTCTCTACATTAGAAATATTCAATGTAAAATTATAAAAAAGAGGACGCAAAAATTTTTTTAAAAATTTTAAAATTTTTTATTTATTTCAAAATGATTTTTTTTTCAAAACTGATTTTTTTTTCGTCCACTGTTCTACAATTTTACAATGAATATTTCAAATGTCGAGGAATTTTTTTTTAAATTTAAAAAAAGTTGAAATTGATTTTTTTTTACAAAATTTTGAATTTTTTATTTCCATATTCAGTATTTAACGCGAAATTGTGAGAAAAATAAATCATTAATTGATGTTTAACTAGCAATAAATATGCTCCTTTAATTTTTTATAAAACTGACGATTCAGAAAAGAAAAACGGTTTGACCGATCAAAGTACCAATGTTGAAACATTGGTACTTTTCGCAATAATTTTTGCCTTGCATTATTTCTTTTGATGGCACCAAGAATGATGCTCAAAAAAATTTTTCAACTCAAAACTTCAAAACTACTATCTTTAAGCTTCAAGATGTTTGTTTTTTTTCCTCGATACGACCATTATTCACCTTTTAAAAAAATCACTAAAAAAAATTTAGAAAGGGGGAGGGCCAATTAGGTCGGTTTTCGTCCCTTCCATTTTTGACCAAAAAAAAAAGATTTTTTTTTTATCATTTATATCCAATAACTAATCAGTTCCACCCCAAACGGGACCACCCCCTCCTTCCTAGTCAGGATCAATGTCAATTAGAGGTCAGATTGAGAAAAAATGCAATAAAACAAAGAATCTCGGAGTTTAGGTTTTTTGGGTCACTGAGTCCGACTCGGAGGTTTGTTTGTCTATACCAGACCATTTTAAGGTTGTTTCAAGGTCATTTGAAGGTCAAATTGAGAAAAGCTGAGCAATCAAGTCCGATCACATTATACAGGAATTTGAGATCGCTGAGTTCGAATACGAGGTCAGTTTGCCTGTATCAGGTTATTTCAAGGTTGTCTCAAGGTCATTTCAAGATCAAGTTGAGAATACAGTATTTTATGGAGGAATATGGGTGGATTCGAGGTAATATGGGTTGGTATGAGGAAATATGGGTTGGTATGAGGAAATATGGGTTTTTGTGAAGTTTAATATGGTCAGTTCAGTCTTTAGTTTCCAACAAGATTTGGTGAAATACAGAAAGGGGGCCAAAAACCAGCCTTTAATTTTTTTGCCAAGCGTAATTTTAATACCCCATCCCTGACAATGCAATAGTATCTAAATCTTTCTAATAATAATTGATATAAAATATTGCAAATACCAGTAAAAAATATTGTTTTATCATGTTACCTCTATTTTTGAAATATAATTATATAAATCATGTATCGGATTTATATTTTTAAAGAATTCACAAAAAACTATTGTAAAAAATATTTATTCATGTAAAACCTCTACATAGTTTCACCGTTTTCATCTATTCTGAACTTTATCAAACACGAATTTCGTTCATTTGAATTTGCTGGTTTACATACGTGTTTTTTTTTACAGTGTTTACTAACTACTAATGGATGCACGACATCACTTATTCTAATCCCTTTCATAAAGTCAAATTGATTAGACTTAAAATATCAAGAGAAGCGAGATAATCGGCTGTTTACAAAAAAAGGAATTTGAGAAATGTCAATAGACCTCGTGTTTATTAACGAAATACATACAAATTTTTCAGACGTCGGAAATAGATCTTCATTCCTAATCGAACTAGTTTCATGTAGATGTAATTTTTAATAAACAAAATTCAAACGAGAACCGATGAAAATTTCACTAGTTTTTTTAAATATGTATGCCTAAAAATAGCATTGAGAATAATATTGACAACATACTTTCTGTGATTGAGTAATTCCTGAAATATGTGCCAAAAATTCTTATAAACGACATCGAATGTAACGATGATTTATTTTTAAGCAAATGGCATTGCACCTACACTTTTAACTTGTATTTTTGCATAATAACAAACCTTCCGGATCGAAAATAACACATTTTTACTGTCTGGAAATATTTTTATGAAGAAAAAAAAATACTTTCGACAAAACAAGAAAATTACAAATTGTATTTAAAATATAATGAAATAAGAGCTAATCAATTGAAGCATAGAGATTAAGAATTTTGACATGAATTTATTTACTTGAAAGTTTATTTATTTTGTTTGAAACAATAACCTTTAGATGATAACGTAACACATAAAATTTCTTATCTGCCTCATTTACTGCAGCCTTTATAGCTGCTTTACCCACACTAATTTAATTTATTAATGATGTTTTCATCCACTTTTAAACATACACAGTAAATTTTATTTCTATATTCTTCATAAAAATTATTATTTATTACTAATGGTAAATAAAATTAGGCATATTTCAACAGGTCACATAATATATTAAAACTATATTTTATACTGTATAAATAAGTTGATAATAATAGAATGATAAGCAATTTCTAGGAAATGCTACGAAACGTAATTATATTTTGAAGTAACTATAAAAATACATCAGCTTCATTTAAAGAATATAATTTATTATTCATAAAACGGCTTTTACTGTAATTTAACAAGTCGGTATTCCATACTCTGACAAGGGGAAAAACCATTAGCGTACAAAAGTTCAGTTCCAATGATAACCGACCGATTAATTTTTCACGCTATAGAGGAAATAACTGCACCTCATCTTACTATTCTGTGATAACATGCCAAGGTCTTGTCGTGAACAATATGTGATATTTTATGCTTTGCCGATATCATTATAATTTTTACCGAAATAGTAGAATATTCAGAGCCCGTTTTGGAAGTAAAAAAATAAAAATAACATATGCGGGGTGGTCACTATTAGCGTGTACACAAAAAAAGTTGTAGATTATCATAAAATCGGTTGACGTAACATAAACTCGTCATTTTATGCTAAATCCAAAAATCAAATATGGCGGCCATAAAAAAATAGAGTTGGCTGTGAAAATATAAGGATTTAGTAGGCCTTGCACATTTTTTCCAGGCTTACTAGTTTTGACTTATCTGCTATCTTAAATGACAAGAAAAGGCGCAACTATTTCATAATTTAACCAACTTTGCATCTCTTCTAATTTAGGACATCCCTAAAAGTGATCACTGTGTGTATATATACTACAACCATCAAGTTTTTAAAGATAATAAACCTCTAAACAGGAAGTGCACAGACTACCATGGAAATTCCATCCATTTTCAACTCTCTTAAATGAAATGTGTAAAACTTTCCAACTATTCCATCATTCAAGCAGTAATTAATTCACAGAAAGACTTACCTCTTCTGCGACCATATCGCGCAACTTGACGTCCTGCGATCGTGATACCGAGGATGTCCTATGGTATTCCACGAGTTCATTAAGCGAGTTAAACTTCACCACCCACAAAAAGAATTTGCCCTGCGCATCGCGAAGCACTTTAAAATGTTGCACGCCATCCGAACATCTGTAACGAGAAAAACAGATTAAAAACAAACACAATGATTAAGGTCACGGCAGCCTTGATTAAGTCGGCAATTTAATGCATGCCGGTGCAAGGTAATGTATAATTATTGCAGGGATAGTAAATGACAACTTACTTAACCGATAAGGAGAAGTCCCCTGGACTTGATTCGCTAATACGGATTAAGAAGGCCCCTTCATGTTTGTTTAGTAATAGCTTTTCGGCGTCAGCCCTAGTGATTCTCCCATAGTACCATCTAAAAAAATATTACCGTAACAATTCGGAGATTTAACTAATTCGTGATCTTACTCGTGGGGTTTCATTTCAATATAATTACTAGGAATAAGTCCTTCTCTTCCGTCTAGTTCGGCTCTGTACCAGTTCATATCGTCTTCCATGTTTAAGATCTGAAATATTGGGATTGGAATAACAGGGGTTTGCATTTTCATTTCACAATGACTTACTTTTAAAACTTGTGCTTTCCTAAAACTAAGTTCATCATCGGCGGTGGCGTTAAATTCGTGTTTGGCTATGGCCTCCATAGTTATTTATAACAAAGTCGAAGTCTTATCACAAAAAATATACACAAAGATCAGGGCAATAAATTATTGTTTTTATCACAATTGCATTAACAAAACAAAAGGATATTCACTTCATTTGTTCCACGAATGTAATGCTTTAAATACACACACTTCATATTACTCGAACCGCACACAAAATTGTTTTTATGGAATGCCTTTATTAGGTGTTTTTATTAACTTATTTCCACAAGTTCTAAAAAGTGTAATGTACACTCCCCTGTCACAAATGAAATTCTACACTCCGAAATTGAAAATATAATGGCGGAGGGTTATGGTATTCCTTATCTGAAACTGAACATAAAGTGAATATTTCATTTGCCCACTTAGTCACTTATATACTTTCCAAATTATCTTGTGATATCGTTTAGTATACATTATTTAGGTGTAAGGAGCCACAAAATTATTCATATTAGGGAAAATAGTCGGAACTACTTTTTGATCATCGACGAACAGCAATGCCAACTGTCCTAATACATGCCACTGAACTCTACTAGTGAGTGTATGATTCGCGTTTCGCGACTGACTTGCACTACATTCGCAGCAGGCGCGAATATTTGAATTTAGGGCAAGGTGCATCCTGATATTTTTTTTAGAAATCTTATTTTCGATTTAAGAAAATACGAATTTTGTGTACAAGAAGAGAAAATTATTAATATTTTGTGAAGAAAACTATACAAAACAGAAAAGAAACGGGGGTGGGGGCAAAGAAGAGTTGTTCCCATCTATGAGAGAACCAAATACCATAGTTATTAAGTTTTAATTTATATATCTACTTAATTTTACCAAATAACTAACATTTTATTAATGGCATATGAAAACATAATTACTCAGGTTAATGCAACCAATTATACTTTTATGTGTATTGTATGATGCATATCTTTATTGACAAATTCAAAGTGGATTTATTTTTCTTACTTTATAGAAAAAGAAAATACCTGCATATCTGTAGTTGTAAAAAGAAATAATTGTTTTAAGGATATAATAGAATTTTAGTAAAATAATACTAAGTAAATTCGTAATTTATCGTCCCTACATGAAACAGAACAGTCTGTTTTCTTTTTGTAAATTTGACTCATCAGTGTCTCGGAATACCTATAAGGGAAACAAAACTGGACATATATTTTCGGAAAATCATAAATCAACACTTTCCAGTGGGACAAAGTCCATCATCTCAAAATAAAAGCAATGTTCTGCCCTATCTACAATCAACTGCAGTGGCATTTCAACTTCATTAATTAGACTCAATGAAATATTACTTACGTATTAAATATGAGTACAAAAAGAGAAACAAATCATAGAAATAACGCCAACGATTGCAAAAGCTTTTATTTGTAAAATTCCAATTTCACGGAATGACAGGGAAATCAAGCAATGTTGCCAAAGGTCAGAATGTATGTCACTTTAGTGTCTGTCGGTATGTTCATAGACCATTTCTTCTGTAGTACCCCGGTTAAGTCAGTAAAAAATCTACTTTACGAAAATTCACTCCAAGTGTTCAGATTACTACATTTAATTCTTGTCACTCATACGGTTTTAGAGAGAGAGAGAGAGAGAGAGAGAGAGAGAGAGAGAATGTTATATCTAAATCACTACAGTTAATTTCAGTAAATCTCTAATATAAAACATCCTTCGCCATTTATTGTTTCCCCAATTATTATGAATAAAACAAAATTGGTTATTACTTGAATTTGTAACACTGGTAAGCTCCGTATCATGTGACTGACTTAAATGATCAATTGAGTCAATGAAGAAAGTAATTTGTTTCAGCGTCGAAGTTCCAAAGTTTCCACAAATACATTTTTCATTTACATCTAATTGGGCGAAGGCCAAGAAGATTACGCAATTTATATAGTTTTCAAAAAAAATCTCTCCACGAATGGTATAACCACAAAAGATATAATATAGGTATAACCACAGAAGATAAGTTTTATCTTCTGTGGTATAACGTCAGACTCGGTCTCGGTATAGTCGAACTGACTACCAACTAACCAACGTGTCGGCGTCGAAACAGCCCAAAATGAGGCAAGTTCGCGGAGTGATTACTTTATTGTAAAATTGATCGTTGGTGAGAAATCTAACAGTGATTAGATGGTGAGTACTAACCGTTCTTAAATAAACACATAACCTAGCCTTATTAATTCAGGTATTCAGGTATTCAGGTTCAGGTATATGCTTTTTGGCCGATGCGAATTTTTCAGGTTAATTTACGCAATGTTGTCATGTCGACATAACAACACGCTAATAATAATGTTTAAATGGAAGATTTTCTATTTATTTCTGAATGGAAAGGTGCCGACAAATGAAGGTTAATATTCAATATTGCACACCGATACCAAGTGACCGCATTTCGTTTACACTTCGTGCACTGAAATGGCACAATTTATTTTTGTTTTGGACGAATGCAAATCGGTTATTTATGTAAGCGGGCGGAATTTACAATAATTATGTTTATGCATATGGGATTCAGTTTACAATCTACACACTTGGAATTAGGTCGTTTAATTGCACTCGAAAGAATAATCACTTTTATCACTTACATGTAAATACGTACCTAGTTTTGTTTAGCTCCAACTTACGTAAGTTTGCCTTATTTTTATCTGTACATTTAAATTGTAGATACGCTGCGCTTTCTCGGGAGTCTATTTTTTAAGTTTAATTTTGGGACTGAATGAATACAAGGTTAATATTCCTCGTCAGTACGTTTGATAAAGTAGTAAACCGTACAAAATACTGAGATATGTCGAGTGTCGTTGTTTTTAGTTGATATCGATGATGCGGATACGCAGATCTGTGTCCCATATCTAGCATCCAAAAGTCTAAAGGATATATAATAATTATGACAAATAAAATTATCGCTGTTTAGTTTTTTTGTTTGACTGGTTTGATTAAGTGAACAAGCATGTTTTTGTTGAAGAGTTACGACAAAAATTTAATTTCTTCAGGTAGGTTTCGTCCAGTTTTATTTCGCTTAGCTACCTAGATCAAATTTAAAAAATGTACATAGGAACATAAAACTCGAAATTATCAAATTGTCTGTATTTTGTTAGATATTAATCTGTTTTCAATGACGTACATTCTTAAATAAATAATAAATAAAGGAATGTATAAATTAATGTTAACTAAATACTGCTTAATATTTACATAGGATAGTAGTAAATAATTATTTGGAATTGGTCAGTATGATTCATATTGTCTGTTTGCGCGGATGCATAATTTTTCTTTTCCAATTTTAATATTGGACTTTACTCAGCTGAGCTTTCCTTTACAAGGTTAATTCTGTTATCAACTAAATTTGTTTTTTAACTTTATCAAGTTATTAATACGATATATCGATAAAAAGTTAGGGTATGTACCTACATTTATTGTACGTACGTATCAATATTTGAGAAATCCTACAAAGATAATAATAAAGTAAATAAAAGCATCCTTCACAAAATGCACAATAAAAATAAGTTGAAGGGTTTAGATTGTTTCAAATTATTGAGGCCCGATATCTTACATCAAATTGCACTTACATCATGGGGAAATTGACCATTTTATTATTTTTTTTTATTGTTGTAAATCATAGTAGGTATTTAGTACAACGTATTTATTTTATTTGTTTATCAAGATAAGCGCTAGAAAAATTGATTTGAAATTTAAATATAGTAAAATCTAATTCATATAATTTTAAATGTTTTATAGCCATTATACTATCTTTATACAGAATGTTTCGGTTTATGTTTCGATTATTCCTTCATAGAATTTTTCAGTGTTGATATTTGAAAAAATATACTTTATAAAGTACCTATTTCCGATTTTAATAAAATTATATTTAACGATTTGTCTGATTAAAATGAAACATTTACTTTTGATTAGGTATAATGTCACTGCTTGTGCATCTCATTGTGGTAATTATAATAAAAAAATCTTATTTTATTTTAAAAACGGGCCATTTTTGACTTATTTTTGCTTTTTTAACTTATATTAAGTCAGCCACCAAGTGCCGGAGATTTTCCCCGGAGTTTTTACAGGACTCTTTCTCTGGAGTTTCCCCCTTGGAGTTTTCTCCCGGATTTTTCCCGAAGTTTTTTCCCCGGAGTTTCTCGATATTTTTTCTGTGGTGGCACCGCGTTTTCCAATTCCTCAAATGTTGCAAAATCATAGAAATGCTTCTAATAATTCTGATTCATGGTGAATGTCCCATGGATATAAAATAAATTCAAAATAATCTTCATTAGAATAATTATTTTGCATTTTTTTTGTTGATCAAATACATGAGACTTGTAGAATAGGTACCGAATGACACTGTTTTACCAATATTTGCCTTTCAAGGTACATTTGATGATATTTTTAACGTCACATTATTGAGAATGTAAGAAAACGGCAAATATCTGAGAACATCGAAATGTAACCCCTATAATGCGTATATTGGTAAAAAGGTAATTTAAATTTCTATAATATGGTGCAAAAAATACAGGGTGTTCCATTTGAATTAAACAGTTTAGTCGGTTTTAAGTTTTTAAAATGGTTCATTTGGTATAATTTTCTTCAGGTGATTTTGATAGTAGAAGGTAGTGCAAGTGAAAGCTTCCAGAACGAAGAAATATACAAGGAATTTTCGAAACGCTTGCAACTGTCAAAATATCTATAAAATGTCGTTTATCTCGAAAACGGTTAGATTTAGATACGAGGAAGCTGTAACATTTTTTACTTATTTTTAATTTGTCTTGTCGATAATGCAAAAATATACAGGGTGTTCCATTTAAAATAGCATTTAACATTTTTTACTTATTTTTAATTTATCTTGTCGATAATGCAACAATATATACATTTTCAAACTTGAAATCGAAGTAGTCTGAAATATTCTAATGGGCCGTCACCGTAAGACAATGAATAAGAAAAAATGCTAAATGAGCTAGTTGGAACAATATAAAAAATTTTATGTACGTACGTAATTAAATAAAAATATTATTGCATAATGTGCAGTAAGAAAAAATGATTATAAAACATTTGTAACCTCTCAAAACATTGTGATACCTAAATAATGCCCAAAATAAATTAAGCCTCAGATGTTCCCCAAGGGTCGATATGAGGTATTTGTATTGTTTTAATTGATGATCAGTGACTTCGAGTACTTTTTATGTTAAAATGTTACGTTAAATCTACTTTATAATAAAAAAAAATCGGAGTAATTTATTTGTATCACTTACAACTATATTGTTTTACGATTTAAATGTAATCCCTTTAAAATATTTTTACAGTGCGGTAATAAATTTAAACATCCACTGGATTTAACTAAGCAATAAAAATATAAAGAATTTCCAGTTAGTCTATAAATAAAAGATAACTTTTATAATCAATATTTCATAAATTCAAGTAGGAATTCATAAAATTGCGATTTGGCAGATTTTGGAGAAACCAGAACAATATCATCAATTTTTCTCATTTCTATTTTATTAGATTTGTCGTTTATCAGTCTGTGTATTTAAATATTTATTATTACTTCTGATAAATAGCAATGTTTTATTTATTGCGATCTCGATTAAGCCGGTCTAATTGACCGATCAGCTTTTGAAAATAACCGAGATTACACCAGATTTCAGGTAAATAAAGCCCCAGTAAAATATTTACGATTCGCGATCATATGAGTAATTAAATTCTTGATGGCTTGTTTACTATGCAGATTGATCTGTTCATTAATTACTATTATAAGTACCTACCTCGATCTCTACACGATTTTCGTCCCATATCGTAAAGTGAAAAACAGTATGTAGTTGTCAAGCTGTTTGGCGTGTTCCGATTCTGGTGCTGTTCAAAATAAAGGGAAGGGATGAAGACAGGTATCAATTTTATTCATTTCTTTGGCACTCAGCTGAAAAATTTGATCCTGCAAGGAAAAACGAGGCGATTTTGAGCTGTTTTGTTACATCTGTTGAGATGAGTAGATTTTTTTTAATAAAATGTCAAATTTTTTTATTTGCTCTTTAAAAACTAAAATAGTTTTCTATTTTAATGGCGAAAAATACCTATGAAACTTAGTTTATTTTAATGTTATCTATTATCGGATTGAAGATATATCAAATACTCCACCTGGAGGTGTCCGAAGAAGAGGACATTCTTCAGGTAAAATAAACATAAAAGTTAATTAAGTCCTAGCCTGGAAATGCTACAGGCCCTCATTTTTTTTTTAATTTCAAGACTAGGAAAACTAGATAACTTATCGCACTATGCAGCTGACTTTAGTTGAGGCCTATCTATCGACAGTTAAAAATAATTTACGGTTTAAAGATCGAAGAATTTTACAACAGTAGCTAGAGGTTTTTTAGCGCGTAGTAATCATAGTTGACAAGCAAATGCGCGAGATACATAGCCAATAGCCATACTGTGTCCAACATTGCAACAGGAACAGTATTTTTCGTATTTCATATAAGTAATTATATTATGTCGGTAATATAATAATAACCAACAAAGCTTTGACTGTGTATTATATATGGGGTCATTCCATGCCCAATCACTGAAGTCGAGACCGGACCATTTATAACTTTCCTGATTTTTTGGTATTATTTAGTACCCATTTAGAGTAGCTTTCACGATTTTTTTTAATATTTTTATTTCGACCCCTCAAAAAGTTATGAGCATCTGATTATTTTGGTTAAAATATCTTCAAATACCTGTAACCTGGCAAAAACTAAAGACATACTTACACTTTTTTTTTCATTTTTTTCGTTTTACATTGTAGTTTTATAAAAACTAAAATACAAAAATAATACAATTATAGTTTTGTAAGATGTTTTTTGATTTGTTAAACCAAAAAAGTACTTCTGTGGCGTTTTTTTTTTTATTGAAAAATTCTCAATAAAATCGTCTTTGAATATGCAAATTCCTGAAACAGGTTCGAGAGTGGGTCCTTTTTTTCTACATTTAATTCGTAGTAATAATTAAATAAATATTAATAAATAAACATAAAAGACATACTTTTGCGTTATTAACAACGCGAATTTTGAAAAATAACAGAAAATTTAAGGTTAAGTTAAGTTTTCGTATTGCAAAAATAACCATACCCTTTTTTTTAACTTATTCGTGCTCTAACATTGTTAAACTACATGTATTTGCATATTTTTTTATGTTTATTTTCTGTTTATATTTTACCATGCAATACCAATAGCGCGACAAAAAAATTTTGCAAATTTTTTTTTTATTGCTTTGACCAAATAGCCTGTTTATTCAGCTTCAATTTCCTTTTTTCTTAAATTTCGATACGACCATATTTCATCGAAATATCGAACTTTTAATGGAAAAGGGTCCTTTTGTCTTCAAGCATCGATTACTCTGCGACAAATGGTCGTACAGAGAATTGAAGGTCAATTCCGAAAACTGGAATAAATTTCCTACATGCTGCCGAACTTTTCGGATTTTTTTTTTTATTTTTTTTTTGAATTTTAAGAAACAGGAAAAAGGGTAATTTATGGTTTTTTAGATAATTGACGGCTAAATTATAAATATTCACGAGATGACTAATATTAAGCGTGACTTTTACAGTTCGATATACCCAGAAGAACCCTGTGAAATTCCATCTCGATCTAGCGAACCGTTTCTTTGTTTCAGTCAAACTTTTGAAAAAAATTAAAGGTAATCATGATTAAAATGGAAAAAAAAATATGTTTGAGGTTTTCTCACATTTTTACCGCAAATAACGTTTAAATTGATGAAAAAAAATATTTTTTTTTCGAAAATTTTTTGAAATTTTAGAATTTTTTTTTTGTGTTTTTGGAAAACCTTCCGGACATTGAAGAAAACAAAATCCAATTGTTTCCAGCACGATTCGGCTATTTCGTCCTATGCTTCTGTTCATCAACTTTTAATTAAATTAAAATTAAAGTTGACCCAAACCAGATTTCGACCCCCATTCATACCGCATTTTGAGACAAATTTCTAATTATTTTTTGTGCAGTATGTAATCACTTAAGAAACAGTTTTTTTTTCAAAACTACCTTTTTTCTTATCTGAAAAAAAATTTAAAATATATTTTTTTTTTTTCATCAATTTAAACGTTATTTGCGGTAAAAATGTAAGAAAACCTCTAAACACATTTTTTTTCCAAGGATCCTTTTGCATTAAAAGTCCGATATTTCGATGTAAAATGGTCGTATCGAAATTTAAACAAAAAGGAAATTGAAACTGAATAAACAAGCTATATGATCCATGCAATGGCTTAGCTGAAAACAAATTTTCCAAGTCCGTAGACTCGGAAAAAAATTGCAAAATTTTTTTGTCGAGCTATTATTATTATTATTATTATTATTACCTTAGAGCTTCAAAATGCTTTTTTTTAATTCCCAATACGACCATTTTTCACCTAAATACAGTCTGTCAAAAATCACGGAAAAATTTGACTCTTTAATTTTTTGCATTAGCAAAACAAAAATCAAGTGAAATTATTGTTATGCAATTTACTCCAAAATATAAGTACCTACATAATTACTAAAATTTGATTGAAAGTTATGTCATTTTCATATATATGTAAAGGTTTTTTTTTAATTTTTTGCTTCTAGGAATTTATCCTTAAAATAACACTAAAACAAGTGAAATATCTGGGATTTCTAATCCTAACGTACTAAAATGAAGTTTTCGTGACAGAAACGGCGATAAAATTAAGGCTGACATGGGATCAGATAGTGAAAAGCAATATATTTCCCTCGTATCGATTATCTCGACACGATTTTACTATTTTTGAACCGCTCGATAATAATAGTACGGCGAAAACCCCATTCACCTTGCCCATTAACGAGCTAATTTTTTGTATAGCGATGCAGATTTTTGTAGAAATAGAAATAATAGTATATGTCGGCATCACCCTTGTAACCGCTTATAAATTCGTAGCCTCTCGAAGAACTGTCGGCGTCGATGGAATGTTGAGGGCTTGTTTTTGTTTATGTTACAGAAATATTAGAGTACCAAATTGTTATCTCTTCAGGGTTAAGTTTTAGCCTGTGTGTGAAAGACCATCATTGTCTAACTTTCGTAAACACTTCCTTATATGGTCCGGGAAGCAACTGGATCATTCAATTGATGAAACAACCATAGCCGTGTGGCTTTTACTATTATTATTATTATTGTTTTGATAGAGAAGTAGTGAACAGGTTGCTAGGGCTGACAGTGGCGGACCGTTAGTTCCTATTTTATAATTTGTATAACAGCTCCCGTACTTTAGTGTTCGAACTTGTAATAAATAATGTCACGTCACCCGTGTATTATTTCGATGGAGACAACGGAGTAAACTAATTCCCATGTCCACCAAGTGTCTCCGACATACAGGGTGGGCTATTAGTGCGAAAAAGTACACTAACTCCCTTGTTACTTATAATACAGAAAAAAAGTTTATATAAAAGTTGTACAGAATCAAGAAACCTAAACTACAAAATTAATTTCAAACAAACAGAGCGATGAGTAAAAACGGGACACGCCAAACATTACATTTTTTAAATGGAACACCCTGTATATTTTTAAACAGTTGGATTTCTGAGAAAATTCTATATATGTATGGCAATATAAACAGTATATCATTGTAGTGCGGGGTTGCCAAGTTATGTAGAAAATTCTTAGAATTTTGGAAAAAACATGACCTCGAAGAAGTTGTATTAACTTTCAACTACTAACACTTGGAGCAAAAATATTTGACAGAATTATAGGCAAATGTTATACAAAGGCTCCTATATTAGCTAATATCGATATTTTATACAGGGCATTTTTTTTAAGACGATAATTTTTAGAAAGTTCAAACTTGATATTCTAAAATTTTTCAAATGGAACACCCTATATTTTATTGTTTTATTTTATTCGCATATCACTCCACTTCAACTTTTATTAAGCATGTTCTATACCTAAAATTGTTAGTTTTTAAGATATGGCAACATTTCTGAAAATACTTAATTTTTATTATTTTCGGTCGCACGAGATGGCTTTGGAAAAAACTGTCACATTGTGTCAACCTGTCTATACTATAAAATAATTTAGTTATACTACATATTTGTGTATAAAAAAATCTTAATAGAACATAACAACATAGTTTATTTATTAAATGGAAATTAAATAAGAAAATAGATACGAAAATAAATCAAATATTTAATTTTACAACAAGTGTTCAAAATAACGGCCGTCTTGGTTTAGACATAGCTCTACACGTCGTTCCAATGTGGTGTTAACACATTATTCAGAATATCAATGTTGATATTTTGAAAAATTCGTCGAATTCGGTTTTTCATATCCTCTTTAGTAGTAGGGCGAGTTTGATATACCCGATCTTTTACATATCCCCACAGAAAATAGTCCATTTTTGTCAGATCAGGCGACCTAGCAGGCCAACTAATTGGTCCACCTCTTCCAACGCACTTCTCTGGAAATTCATTGTTTAAGAATCTACGAACTTCCTGCGTGTGGTGTACAGGGGCTCCATCATGTAAATACCACATCATCTGACGAATATTTAGCGGTATATTTTCTAATAAATTTTCCATAGTATTTTGTAGAAAATGAAGATATAGTTGCCCTGTTAAATGTTCGTCGAAAAAATAAGACCCAATAAAGTAATGTCCAATAACCCCGCCCCAAACATTGAGTGACCACCGGATTTGACTATGTGTCCTTATAAGCAACGGATTTTCAGAAGCATAATAATGAAAATTGTGTCTGTTCACGCTTCCATTTTTGTGAAACCTTTTAAATTTTTTAAATAAGCTATTT